AGTCAGATTGTGAGTAGGTGAAAGTTGAGAATATCAGAAATGAGATGATGAATAAAGGAAGTCCTCAGTATGTGATGAAACCCTTAGACAAGAATTACAAAGACTTAACTGGGTGAAAAAGCGCTGAATTCCCTCATCATTGATGAAATATGCACAAAAAGAAACACGTTTAAACTGGTGTAGGGCTCACAAAAAACAAGATTGGGATAATGTGTTCTGATGAAAGTTATGTCTGGCTTTTTCTGAACTGTGTGAAAATGTGGATAAAAGATACCGTGAAACCTATCTAGCTAAAACCTAAAACATGTCCCGAAGCTGTTCAGTATTTTCACTGGAAATTTGACGAAGGAACGATATGTTGACATCTTAAATGGTCACCACCTTCCAACGGCCCGAATACTTTAAGAAGACAATTGGATTTTCCAGGATAATAAAACGACTCAAAAAAAAAACTGCGGGCTACACAAAACAGTGCTTTTAGATCAGCTCAGATCTTAACCCTATTGAGAATGTGTGGGGACTAATGAAGGACAGAATAAACCAAAAAGGACTTGGAAATAGTGAGGATATGAAGAAAGAAGTGGTCGAATATGCGGATACGCTGTCAAACAATTTCCAACAAACTTTGATTGGTAGTGTACCTAGGTACATTCAGTCGTGTATTGCAGGGCAAGGAGGTCTCACAAAGTACTAAAAAAACACTTAGACTGTAAGAGAATCATATCTCAACAGATTCATTTAAATAAAACTTCTATAGTTTCTGTACATGTATTAGACATTTGCCGAAACAACATTCCCAATTATTTCTGGGAATACTACATATGACTCTTTTCATTTCTTCCAACCGCCTCCGTGGTGTAGTGGTTAGAGCGTCCGCCCGGAGACCGGAAGGTCGCGGGTTCGATCCCCGACCGCGTCATACCAAACGACGTTAAAATGTGGTACTTGTTGGTCCCTGCTTCGTGCTCGGCATTAATGGGTACAACAAGGACTGGTCGGCTCGGAGTCAGTATAATGTGTCTAAGTGGGGTATTCATGCTTCACTGCGGCATGGTATCTCAGTGGGCTAGCACTATTAAACCAGTTTAAGTCTGGGCTAGTACAAGCAGCCGCACATACACATACACACGCATGCGCGTCGTCATATGAGCGAAATATTCTCAAGCACGACGTTAAACCCAATTTCACCTCACCTCACCTCATTTCTTCCATGATACTTTTTAATCATATTGACGTGACAAAGCCGTTTCTTTTACGATGGCCTTGGTGCTACCATACCACGTATCATTAGCATATGGCCCACAGTTGACCAGGACTGAAACTTCTTTCCTGAGGCCTTTTGTACTATTATCATGTCCTGGGATTCTTCCAAATTATCCGTAGCAACTTCACTAGATCTGGAAGGCATTATTCAAAATAATGAAACTTAGTTCAACAAACTAACTTCAGACCTATCTTTAAGCCGTTGCTCCTTCAAGTTGCCAACGACTAGGTAAAAAGGACTGAAACCTAAGGACTCATGTGCTCCCTCCCTCACAGCAACAACGGGAAGTGAATGCCTTCATCCCAATCCTTCTCAGTCTCATGATCTAAAATTGAATCTCTCTAGAACTCCCTCAGGATGATACGCACTAGACTTAATATGTGAAATGCCTAACTGATGCATAGCTTGTTGGAAAACGTCTGACAATTCTGGAATTGGAGCCTTGATTTGGCTGAATACTCTTAAGCAAACCGAATATAGTGATGTACTTCGCAAAGCAAAGCCAACTGCCTCAAACAGTCACAATCACAACTGACCTCTTTTGAAGTACACCACCTAGCAAACAGAGTTTGCTTCTCCTTAGCAAAGTCACCAAGAGTAGAACCATTCATAACAGACCTAAGCATTCTGCTGGTAAGAAAAAAACAAAGTTTGCAGGCACCAATTCACAAGCCTTCAAAACTGCAGCCTTAACAGTCTGATGATCAACACTCCTATCAAAAGGTATGACAAAATGAACGTCTTGAACTTTTCCCCTTAATACACTTTGCAAACAACATGGTACAATGATTCTCAAATTGTTAGCCACATTTACAAGATGTAGGAAAACCCCATTCAACATCATGTGAAGTGAAAGGCAGAACAGACTTTCCTTGTAAGATTTGTCACTTGTTGACGTACTGAGAGCGAAATGACCTTGTAAATTCAATTGTTTGAATCCCAATTCTTTTACATCTTCAATTTCTTCAAGCTGAATTTCCTCTTCTAATTTCTTCAGACTTGTTTTCTCCTCAAACAATGCCAAAACATCATCATCCGACATTTCTTCCACAACTGAGAATCTAATGGTGTATTCTTGAAATCGGCCTTAAGCATACCAGATTTGATGTCAAAGTTGGATTAATTGGCCAATCCGACCAGATCAGATTTTTTTAGCAAACAGGCTTGCTCCCTAGAAGGTTGGCCAGCCAACGTCTCTACACTAAACGTCACAGTGATTATTGGTTTCACACAATGTCAGACAACACAATCTTAATCCCAAAACTTTGATAAATAGTGAGTGAGTGAGTTTAGATTTTAAGTCACATCGACAGTATTTCAGCTATATCATGACTATATCCAGTTATATATTAATAATAGGTAAAGTATAAAAACCTGTCAACGAAGGACAGTAAAACAACTAGACTATCACAGTAGTAGTACAATGGGGATTCTGCATCACATGCGGCTTAGAGGCTTATTTATGGAACTTAAGCCCCCCAGCCCCCCTTAAAAAACGGCGAGGGTGTAGCGCGAGGCATCCCCCGATGTGCCTCCAGGTTAGACCGAGCTTAACATTTGGATTTGATTTAAATGTAGCCGTAATATTCGGAGACGACTTTATTGGGTGGGTCTGCCATGAATTCCTCGAAGTGGATTAAGCAGTACGGGACATTGCATTCCCTGGTCTCGAAGCTATAATCGATTAACGTATCCATAAGGCGTTGCAACCGTTCGGTACCCATGAGACCTACCTAGAACTATCGTACAGGCTGGTGAATTTCCCTCGACTTATGACTCTACGCAGGGCAGCGTAAATATCGAGGCCCTGGACGTCCTCCGCGACGCGTCTGAACAACCGTTTCTCAATCAATCTCCACATGTATGAGAAACATAAGATGAATCTTAAATAAGGGGGCAATACCGTGTCGTGAGGGACGATTTGTAATTTCTCGGACGGATCCCCTACCCGGCCCATCTTGCAAGTAGTACGAATTGGTTCGTCGTCTTTAATGTCCACTCAGTCAATTTGGTACGTTTTCATGGACCATAGGGGGTCTGTGGCGTGGCGTTTGTCCCCTCCTTCGAGTTCACCTGGCTGGTACAGATACCTCACAACGACCCGGTCCAGTAGTTTTTTCTCTTGGCCGTGACGCGATGGCGTAGCCGATTCAGTCATCACGGATTTCATTCGATTGGCTTCAACAGGTCTTTTATCGAGGAGTCGAGTGACTTCGTTGTTGATCGCCGACACCACTGGCGATAGCGTACCACCCATTCCGTCAATCGTTTTTCTTGGTTGACCATCTCTCAGGCATACTGATGTCCAAACAAACGCTCGGCTAAAGTCCTGTTGAATCTTTCAACATAGGCTTTGGTGAGCTCCGTCCACGCCCCGTCTCACCTGAACTTTATGCTTCAATAACAGCTGTGACATGGCTCCCATGAACTTGCGTATGGGATCGACTTGTAACTCGGTCGGCCAGGTCAAGCGACTGCATTTGTATATACGTTCTAAGGCCTTAGCGTCTTGACTCGAATCTTTGGTCGTTAACAGCTCGACTTCTTTGTAGCAACTGGCAACGTCATCGACGGTCAGGGCGTACTTGTACGTTTTGTTTCTCGCCCTGTCGTGCGGGAGAAAAAGGAGGTCGGCTTGATGGGTACGATTGGGTACAGAAATGTCAAACATTCTTCTCAGGATGTATCAGGGTGCCGGCAGGTACACTTGCCATATGGCCTGTTTTTAAAACCAAGCTTTGGCGGTATCCGCGGAGACGCGAACGGCTTTAGCTATCTTCGGGATGGCGCCCACACCTTTCCAGTAACCCCTGGGTCTGTAGTAAACCTTCTCCATGATGTATACACGCTATTATCCATCAAATAGTTTCCTTTATTGGGGGTCACGGAAACTCCAAACGCGTCGAGGTCTAGACAGACTGTTGGGATCCATAGCCATAAGTGTGGATACCATCGTTCGCAATCCACCGTTTGGTATCCATGGGCGACAGCGACGTAGATGCCGTAGATGGTGTGTTTGTCGCTTCTCAACGCGTTCATGGGGCGTTTGAACGTGCGTTTATCGAAGAGAGCCTGTTTGAAGAGGGTGTGTTGGATGAGTTGTTTCACCACGTATTTCTTGACCCCTTTCGCCTTTCAGATCTCGCCGTTGTCAGCTTTCAGGATGGAATACATCTTGGGTCTCAATCCGACGTATTCTGCGATGGGTGTTCCCGCACATTCATCCTTCATCTTGCCGAGGTTCATTTTATTGGCCGTGCTGTGTAGGTCGTGGTCTTGGGGGTAATTGCTGGTGTCGTACCGGTGCATGTGTTTTGCCATGTCCTCGTATCTGTCCTCGGTACGTATATTCAATAACAAGGAATCGGTGTCCATGTACAGCAGCTCGCATTGATCACCGTATTGCTTCTTGAGTCGGTTGTAGTAGAAATCGTACATGAGATGTTTGGAGAGGTCGAGAATGCTCATCCCCGCGTAGACGGGCTTGATGTGGCTTTTGTTCATGTGCAGCACCGCCAAGTAGTTTTCGAATAGCTTGCTCAAGTTGAAGGCCGGGCTAGCGATGAGTTTCCTGAGTTTTTCTTCCTCGTGAGATCGCACGAGTTTGACCGTCACCCGTTTTCTCAAGTTTTCCATGGTTTTGCCGAACACCGACTTGTTCATCAGTTTGTAGAGGTATTTCTCGAAGTCGCTGGTGGCCTGTTTTCTTAGCTCGGTGTTCAACCGAATGTAAGGTTCCATCCAGGGACTTTGATCGAATTGCAGCACCCGATGTATTTTGGTCAGCTTCATGCCCAGCGACAGGTACAGTTGCAGATTCCGATAGTGCACCACGTACTTGGTCTTGTGCATTAAGTTTGGAACGAGTTTTTCCACGTTGGCCAGCTTATTTTTCCCGAGCAACGTTAGTTGATAGTCCAACATCCAGTCTCGGTTCACCATCAACTGTTCGGGAGCCAGCGGATAGCTGTTGTGAGCAGCGTGCAATGCCTCGGGATACTCCAGATCCACTTCGAGGATGTAGCCTTTGTTCGAATCCGGCGCAATGCTCGTGATATCGATCTCATTGTCCAACCACTCTAACCCGCCCGTAGGCAGAGACTGGCTCATGGCCAAGCCGTGGAGGTTGTTGGTGTCGAGATACAAGAGATGGTTGGTGGGCTTGCTCGAGTCGTAGCCTGCCACGTATGGGTTGTTGGCTTTCGCGTACCGTTTGGAGACCATGGAAATCCCACAGCGCATGCCTTTTTCGATGAACAGGTGCATGTCGTAATCCGTGAGCAATTCCAGTTTGACTCTGGTTTTCTTCAAGAGCGCATCCCAAGAGAGACCGGGGCTGGTGTAGTACCAGGCGGGGTCGAGTCGATACTGTTTCAAACACGTCGTTCTGAACATCTCGAACACTTCGGCCAGCAGGAGCACGTTCGTTTTTAAGTACAGGTCGTGGTAGTCGCCCAGATTCTCGCAACCCAGTTTGTTCCACACGTTCTGAGCGTGGTCGTAATCGTCCTGGGAGATATGGGATTCGGTCAAGTTGCTGTAAAATCGGTCGATGGGAGGTAGTTGCATCTCGTCGAACTTGGGCCAATCGTCCATGTACTCGTACGGGTACACGCCCTTTTTGAGCAGCAGAGGTCGAGTCGCCTCATCGGTGTATTGATGGGTGATGGTGAAGGTATCTTTGGCCTTGACCAAACTATCGAGCGATGACAGGAGGAACTGAGCGCTATCGATAAATCTCAGACCGTTGAGCGAGAATGAGGTGTATTTATCCAGGTTGTTGGGGATGCACTTGATATCGCCATCGATGTTCGAGATGGCCTGCATGATCAAGTGAGCATCGTACCCTCTCAAATTGTGGAAGACCACAGGGATGATGATTTTGTGGGGATCGCTTCTAAGTTTTAAGCTGCACGCGTTGTGAGCGGCACCTCGGTACCGACCAGTGATGTGACAATGATCTCTCACAACATCCCCGTTCAGGGGTTGGTCGCACACGTGGCAACACTTAGCACGCTTGTGAGCGAGTTGATCATCACCGTCTCTCCCACGCCTCGGCAATCCTCCCGGTGCGCTTGCAGCAGGTTGGCTCGAGTGAAGCTGTGCAGGCATCGGTCGCAGAAATGTTTCTTTTCTCTGTGCATCGATTTATCGTACAACAGTCTGCTCAGACTTTCAATATGTGTGTAGTGATACTTACCTTCTTTTTTGGTCATAAATAAATTGATTCTTCCCACATCATCAGGCATGGAGCTTATTCGGTGTACGATGGTCGTATTGCCTTCGTGGCCGAAGAAGTTGATGGCTAAATGGTTTAGTTTTTCAAATCTGGTCCAGTAGGAAATGGGTGCTGGTTTAAATAAGCCATCCCAGTTAAGCCCATCGTCTTCGGAGTAGCTCGAAGGTCTGTTCTTACTAATAGCTACTGGAAATAAGCCAGCTCTCACCGAATATACTGCACAAGCATCGTTTTTATTTTTAATGTTATTTATGTCTTTTTTATTTCTGTAGTAAGGTGGCAAGTCTAGGTACGATCGGTACGTAGTTCACTACGTCCAAATAGATGGTGTTGACACTTCCCACCACCCAGCCGGAGCCCCTGTGCGTCCATCGTTCCAGCGATTCTTGTATTTTTTGTAGCGAGGTATCGAGGGTTGAAGTGATCGAGACTGATTGAAGTACGACTTCCTGCTTGCCTCTGAAATAAGGCTCGATGGACTAGGTACTGCCATCCGTCTGCTGTTTGTCGAGCGACATGTGGATGGTCAACTGGTATTTGATACGTTTAAAATCAGCCAACTTTTCTTCGACTTTGTCGGCGATCAGGGGTTTGACGCTGTTGACGTCGATATTAGACTGGACAATCATATTCCAGCCTCTCAGATACTTACCCACGGCATGGTCTGTCGGCACGAATCTCAACTCGACCGGCTCGGTGTCTTCCAGCAAGGTGAGCAGTTGGGGTTTCCTCATGCGACAACAACACACCAATCCTGGACTTTTAGCGAGAGCTTTGAGTTCGCTGACGGTAGTCATGATTGCTTTGCAAAGTTCGCTGGCCCACTAGTCATGATTGCTTTATCCACATGCAAAGTCAAATGTCTAATTGATTTGCTATATCCACATGCAAAGTCAAATGTCTAATAGGTTGTTGTTTTCAAAGGGAGATAACTCCATCAGCCTTCTCTCTTGAACTGATCGAGGACCTGCCTCTAAGCATAAATGCAGCACAGTTTGCTGATGACGGATCGTTTTGGAGACGCTTTGGTAATTTTCAGTTTGTCATAGAATCTATACAAAACTGCTTAAGTAAAGTCAGTACATGGTGTTCAAAATGGGGGTTTAAGATTTCAAAATCAAAATCAGTGGCAATGATGATCACAAGACGTAAGATCCCTCATGATATCAGTTTATCTCTTGGACATCATAAACTGGAAATGGTGTCAGTGTTCAAATTTCTTGGTGTGTATTTTGATCAAAGATTAACATGATCTCATCACATCACACATTTGTATAACACATGTAACAAGATCATCAATCTATTAAAGTGTATTTCAAAACAAAGTGGGCGCTGATAAGTCAACTATGTTATTGCTGTACAAGGCCCTTATCTTGTCCAGACTTGACTATGGTTGTCAGGTGTATATGTCGGCGGCTAAATGTCATCTTAATAAGCTTGACAGAATTCAGTCTAAAGCTCTGAGAATATGCACTGGTGCATATTGTACAACTCCAACCTCAGCTCTTCAAGTTGAGTGTTCAGAAATGCCCCTTCCCCTTCGAAGACAACAGGTATCTTTGAAATATTTCTTGAAAATGAAAACCAAGAACAAACACCACGCAGTCACTGAGATTGTTAATGACTGCGTGGAATATGTCATGTGTCACTGGACTCATGGCAAATTACCCTTTGGCTTGAATATTCAGAGATTAGCTGATCAACATGGTATCTACAACTGTAACCCAGTTGATCCTTCTGCTCCGCCTGTCACACCTCCGTGGGTTCTGCTGAAGCCTGGATTGAATTCGGAACTCAATTTAATCGTGAATAAGAGAATGGACCAAAACATAATAAAAGTGATAACTCAAGACTTTCTGTCTGAAAATTATTCTAATTTCACACATATATACACTGATGCATCGAAAGAACCATCCAATAATCGTACTGCTGGGGCTTTTTGGATACCCAATTTATCGATCGCTTAAGTGTTCAGATTCCCTGATTATCTTTCTGTTTTTGCAGCTGAACTTTTGTCCATTTTGCAAGCATTGAGATGGGTAGATGAACATGACCATGAAGCAATTATCTTTACAGATTCTATGGCAGCAATCAAAGCTATAGAAGCTGGTGCAAATGGATCTAGAGATGACATTGTGCATGAGATATTAAAGTTGGATACATCGTTAAACATGAAGTATATTGCATGCGACATTGTGTGGGTCCCAGCACATGTTGGAATACATGGGAATGAGATTGCAGATAATTTGGCAAAATCCGGGTTACAGTTTCCTGAAGTTGATTTATTTAAATTTCAACCAATCCCTAAAGATTATGAAAATGTTTTATCGAAATCTGTTGCAAGGAGTTGGCAACAGTTGTGGGATACAGGTACTACCGGCCGACATATGTACAAACTTAGACCATCACTAAAATCTGGTCATAAAATTCGTCGTCGTAAAAGGCGTGATGAGGTTATTCTTTCACGTCTAAGACTTGGACACTGTGGGCTAAATGCCTACAGGAGTATTATAGATAAGACGGTCTCTTCTAAATGTGGCCATTGCAATTTGGAGACGCCTGAAAACATCTAATTACATGCCCTGGGCATAACAACATAAGACAAAATCTCAGAAGTGCTGTACTTGAGGTTGATGATGTATTCTCATTAGAAACAGTTTTTGGCCCCAATATCATGCATGGGTCTGTGCAACGAGCAGTTTTAGATTTTGTCTCGTCATCTGGAAAATATGATGTAATCTAGACAGGCTCTCGAATGGCTTAGACAGATTTAGTTCTGTGGTTTTAAATCATTTTAACACTCTGTCATCTGAACCGACTGCTTTTTTATTGAATGAGTATTTCATGTTTCAGAAATGGAAGTGATTACTTAAGGTTTTTAATCCGTAACACGAAGCAGAGGTTATTCCATATATGTATACATCTATCCAAATTAATAGTGTTGTCGTTTCTTTTATCTTAGCTAAACGATTCCTTTTGGCGATGAAATTACATATGATTGTTTATTAAACCAAGTCAATGTGTTGGGCGCAAATAGGCCTCTCTTATTGGCCCACGTCGCCCTAAAACTATAAAACCAACCAACCAACCATCTCTTGAACTGAAGCGCTCATAATTTTTTTTTTTTTTTTTTTATTCTTGTAAATATTTATTGTGAGGAGTCGGTTATGCTCGTTGAGATAATCTTTCTTTTTGTGGTAAATCAGTTGGTTTCTGATAATGTCAATCATTACGGTGGCAGCTAATCCTAAGGCCACAAAAATCAGCTCCTGGTCTTGTTGTGAATTGGAAGGGGTGTAATACTGAGAGAGGGTGGGTTCGCTGCCGAGGGGGTCGAGTCGTTTGCCGGTGAGCAGGTAGTATTGTTGCATGGCGTGGTCAGCGTCCTTGAACGTTCGAACGGCGTGGTTTTCACGCTGGAGTTGGGCTCGTTCCCCTTCGACTTCAGCTGCGTTGGATTTGTATAATTTTGAAAAGAGATAATTGCTCCCCGAAAAGGCCAGGGCGTT